GTGTGTGTGTGTGCATCCTTGCATGTGTGATGTGTATGTATGCTTGTGTGTGTATGTATGTATGCGTGCTGTGCGTGTGTATTTATGTATATTGCATATGTACATGTGTGTATCTGTATATACGTATGTGTTTAAATGTGTGTATAAGTCTATCTGTATGTGTGTGTGTATGTATGTATTATGTATATATATATATATGTATATATTTATATATATATATATATTATATATATATATATATATATATATAATAATATAATATATAATATATATATATATATATATATGTGTGTGTGTGTGTATGTGAGTGTGTGTGTGTGTGTGTGTGTGTGTGTGTTGTGTGTGTGTGTGTGGTGTGTGTGGTTGTGTGTGTGTGTGTGTGTGGTGTGTGTGTGTGTGTGTGTTTGTGTGTGTGTGTGTGTTTGTGCATGTCTTTTTGATTGTATATGAGTGTGTGCCAGTGCATGTGTGTGTATGAGTTTGGACAATCGCACAGACAAATTTTGCAATAAGGGCTATTTCCTATCCACCTGAACATAAAATTATCTCACAAAATAAAATGCTGCTACAATAGAAATACAATAACAAAGTGATGTTTCAAACTTGTCATGAGTAGGAAAAACTGAAAGGAATTCAGTCTGGTTTTTGCTACGTTTTATTAGAAACTCATGAGGAGTTTAAAACATCATGTTTTTGCTTCATCTCTAATGTGGCAGTGTTCAATCTAATTGTACGTGTACAAATTACTGCTTTTGTTTCTATACAAAGACATGGATATATTCTCTACATATAATATATATATGGAATCCAATTCTTTTACATCATTTATCAAAGAGAATTATCGAAATTTCATGGAAAGTAGATTAAGAGATGCTACACAGGAACTACATGTTACCTTTGCATGTCACAAAGACAAAAAAAAAAAAAAAAAAAAAAAAAAAAAAAAACTACTGATTTTGGTGCAGACAGTAGAAGAGGATATTGTGAAGAAATACCACAAGAGCTAAAAAATCAATAAAATACATGCCAGATGTTTCTAAAAGATTTTTACATTACATTTTCTTTTTCTTTTGTTTAATGAGCAAGAACATACCAGTTTGAACATTCTCATTAACTCCAGAAGGGGAAGTGGAACAGGAAGAAGAGGAGGAGGAGGAGGAAGAGGGGGGAAGGGAAGGGAGGGAGGGGGAGGGGGGGGGAGGAGGAGGAAGAGGAGGAGAAGAAGGAAGAGGAGGAGAAGAAGGAAGAGGAGGAGAAGAAGGAGGAGGAGGAGGAAGAAGGGGGGAGGAAGAAAAAGGTGTGAGGAGGAGAGGAAGGGGGCAGAAAGGAGGAGGAGGAGGAGGAGGAGGAGGAGGAGGAGGAGGAGGAGGAGGAGAGGAGGAGGAGGAGGAGGGGGAAAGAGGAGAGAGGAGGAGGAGGAGGAGGAGGAGGAGAAGGAGGAGGAGGAGGAGGAGGAGGAGGAGGAGAGGAGGAGGAGGAGGGGAGGAGGAAGGAACAAGGAGAGACAAAGGTGTGGAAGGAAGGAAAGGAGGGGCAAGAAAGGAGACGAGGCAGGGGAGGCAAAGGAGGGAGAGGAGGAGGAAGATAATGAAGCATTGGAGGAAAATTGAAAACAGAGTGGAAAATAGAAAAAATGGAGGTGGGAGACAGGGGAAGAGCGAATTAGAGAAATAAGACTTATGAGATAATGAAAGGGTTAAAACTGCATACCTATGGCACTACTGTTCTTTATTTACAAAGGCTTCTTTTACATTAATTGTCAAAGGTTTATAGCCATACGCATAGCCTACGGGTAAATTTTCATCCATATTAGTATCATCGTTATTCTTTTTACAAATGTGCTATTTTCAATTTCTTTTAATAACACCTCACTTATACTGTTTGCATTACAAACAAAATATATGGTGAATGAAACAAGTACACAAAAAGCAACAGTAACATAATTCATACATACAAACACAAAGCCAAAGCAGAATAATTATGTTTGCCTTTTTACTTCCAATCTTTACAGGTGTTTTTTTCTCAACTTTGGCTTCTACTTAAAAAAAACTAATGTCATAAATGAAAATTTCTAAAGTGTTCATCAATTCTTCCTTCAATTAAAACTAGCATTCTTCAAAATAAATGAAATTTCACATTAACATAATCCTCAAATTAAATAAGAACAAACTTCATCTAGAAATATATCAATATCACATGACGGATATATGCTACTGACAGTGAACAAAGTGGGAGTGCGTGGTATTTGATATTCAATATTCAATGCCATCATGATTCAGTTTTCATAAGCATCAGCCAGGATCAGAAAAGAATTTCATAGCTTATAGCTAAACTTTTCAAAAATGAAAAACAAACAGATTTATATACTAACTAAACTGCAAGGACTTGGCTCACCTGAGGTAATTCCTTCTCTGCTGCATCTAGCTCCTCGCGAATATCATTATCAACATCGCTGGTTATGTCAGCCTTCTCATAAGGAGGTATCGCCTCTTTCTCTTCTTGCTGCTCTACTTCAGGCTCCTGGAGGGGTTCAATGTGAATGGGGTCAGGGATTACTTCCTCTACAGGAACTGGGTCCTCCCCTTCTCCTATAGAAGGAGAGGAAACACCAGCACCCTCTTCTTCAGAAGAGACTGCAGGAATGCCAATGTCTTGTCCCTTTTCTGTTAGGGGATCCTCACCCTCAGGTATGATCTGAGATTCAATATCAGCAAGAATTTCTTCAGACACACCCTCTGATTCCTTGGCAGGGAATAAGGGCTCTCGCTCCTTCACCACATAAGGTGCGGTCTCTGGCAGTGCTTCCTCAGCTGGTGCAGGTACTGGGGGTTCAGATCCAGTTGGTGTCCCCTCCTCTTCCACAACTGGCTCAGCTTCCTGTGCAACATCATACTCTAAAGACTGACTAGCTTCTACTTCAACCTCACTACTAACTTCTACTGGAACAGACTCTGTTTCTACAAGCACAGGCTCTGGCTCATCTGTTCCTTGTGGCTGAGTCTCAGCCTCTGCAACAGAGGCAGGCTGAGCCACAGGGTCCTCAACAGCCAGAGGCTGTTCTGATTCAGCAGCTACTGAGGGTGCAGCAGAAACAGACTCCCTATCAGTAACTACAAGCTCAGGCTCAGTCCCTAACCCAGTTTCTGATGCCTCTTCTGGCTCGGGACTCTGGGAGGACTTGACAGGCTGGGTAAGAAGAGGACAAACACTGTTAATATCAAGTCTCCTATAAATTCAACTACTACCACTGCTTTATGGAAAAGATCAAAAAAAGCTTTGTGCAAAAGATTAATAACTTTTAAAAAGTCATCTTTTAAAATATTCATGCAGATATCTGAATAAATAAACACTTTATCTTGTAAATATGCTACAAAAAGTTCAGCACAAAATTTCATTAAAAAGCAGAAACACTAAAGAACAAAGAAAGCATATTTGGTGAAAAAATCACAAGGATTTTAAATGATATCACATTAAAACATACAAAATTAAATACAGTACAAGAAAAATCATATTCCATTGTTACATTAATCTTATCCATGCACCATCACCAGTGACTAATGCTATAGGACAGAATTCCAGAAAACAAAATCCTTTTCAAACTTAAAGCTTGTTCATGTTATCTTAAACAACTGATAAAAGCTTTCAATTTATGTGCAATTACACATACATACTTGCTATTATTGCATACATATGAATTTCATGTAATTAATGCAGTATAAAGAATAATATGCAACTGTAAGGGGTTTGTGACTACAGTGACTACTTTGGTGACTAAAAAATATACTGATAGTTAGTCTGCCAGTTATCTTATGAACTTCAAGAGAAATCAATTCATCAAATGTATTCACCTTTAGAAGTTATAAACACAAACAATTTCTCACTATTATTCTTGCTAAAGCTTTTTAACTGTATTACAGAACTTGACAATGGAAATATTTAAAAGAAAATTTGACTTAGTTAAATTCAGTACCAGACAAACCTTCAACAAGTGGTTGTGAAAGAATTCTAGCCCTCATCAAAAGGTGGGTGGTCCTCCAGGATGGCCCTGGCCTTAGCCACTAATAGGGCTCTTACTTGAACTGATACCAAGTTACAAAAAAAAAAAAAAAAAAAAAAAAAAAAAAAAAAAGAGGAAGTAACCTTATACGTCAATCAGACACCTTCTTTTACAGCAAAGAAATGGCTCACATTTAATTCTTAATTATCACCTACAAGGCCTGGGAGTGTCCCCCAAATAGTCAATTTCGGCCTCACCTTCCTGCGATACTCATAGTCAAAAGGGAGATTAATCATGCTAAAAGATAAAGGCAGACTGTTAGTACATTAGAAAAACAATCACTAAAAAATAATCCTAGGAGGAAAAGATTATAAAAATATTAGTAAGCATTCATATCTACAATGGTCAGTTCAAATCAGCATACAGTAAATCACAAACAAGAATAGTCTATATGATAGTTGCATGCAAGCAATATGCATGATAGACATGCAAGCACACAAAGATTAATGCATATATCATATACACTTCTAGATGCTATCTTATAAAAAGTTATCGTTTTTGCCTTAGAACAAGATTTTTTCAAGACATTAAAATACCTATGGGTCTGCAAGTCGTATTCATTCTTTAAATAAAAGATCATATAAAAATGAGAAAAAAATAAATCCAGAAATCTTATAACTACAAAATTGTACACATAAAAAGGAAATAATTCAAAACAAGCATATCTAATCTATGATCTTTTCTGTATTTACACAAATATTGCAAATATCATGCCTTTTCAGGTCAAGATATTCTATACATTTCAAGTTTTCTGGCTTGGCAAGGATTGTGTAAGATAAAAAGAGATTCCTGGTTGACAGATCCAAATATCAACCCTGTTTTGAATATGAAGTTTGGTAATGACAACCTAAGACAGTTTGAATTTGATATTGCTGCATCTTAGTTTAAGCTCTTATATGTTGCCACAATTAATGGATGCTTGCAGATACCATCTTTTGTTAATAAAAGAAAAAACTAAGAACAAATCAAAGAACACAAAAAAGGCAGAAAAACAGCAGGGACGCATGTGTGGTCATGTATTTTCTAAGTTACTTCCTATTTCCTTATCACACTATCTGATGTTAAAGTACTGCTTTTAAGGTGCCTTTGAAATAATTATATAAGTTAACAACAAATGATCTTAAAAAAAAGATAAACCAAAGAGTTTACTTTTACCATAAGAAAAAATCATAAATCATAAACATTTGAAATATTTCTAGTTAGGCATTACTTAGAAAATACAATAATGGTTAAATAAAAAATGAAAATAATTGTCAATAAAATATTTTAAAATTATTTAGCACTTCCCATTAGCATGCATCTTATAGCTAGCACCAAAGAACCCAATGCCAGAGAGATTTCCAAACCTAAAATCCTTTGCAAAGTGCTCCATTCTTTTGCAATTACACACCACTTCCCTTTCCTAATCTGAACTACATATCCCAGCATCAACTCCCCAAACTGTTCAATAATACTAAGCTTACCTCTGGCTCCCCCTCTTCTATCCTCCTTTTGACATCTTCCAGAATGACTTGGATGTGGTCTAGGGTCTCGGACAATCCCTCAGTGTGGCCCGATTCCATGGCCCGCAAAACCCCGGCAATGTGAGGTGTTAGTTGGTTCACCATCGCATTCTCTGGGTCCACACTCATGATCTCCTCAGCCAGGGTTTCCACACGGATGTAAGCACTGGTCAAGGATTCCATACTGGCATCTTTTTCCTCCACCTCATCATCATCATCATCATCGTCATCCTTTCCTTCTTCAGCTTCAGCTTCTCCTTCTTCATCTTCATCATCATCATCATCTGCTTCCTCATCATCATCCTCTGCATCATCATCATCATCATCATCTGCAGCAGCAAGGGTTTCCTCAGCTTCCTTCACTTCTACAGGAGCATCCAATTCTTCCACTTTTTCTGCAACAACAGGTTCCTCAACAACTTGAGGTTCTTCTTCGTTGACTTCCTCTGCAGCTTCTACTACTTCTTCTGCAGGTACAGCATCTTCCTCAGGAACAGCAGCTTCTTGAATTTCTTCTACAAGGGAACCTTCCTCTTGTACCTCTTCCTCAGGGGCAGCTTCTTCCAAACCTTCAACAGGTGCAGGCTCTTCCTCAGCTACTTCTGCAGGTGCAGGCTCTTCCTCAACTACTTCTGCAGGTGGAGGCTCTTCCTCAACTATTTCTGCAAGTGCAGGCTCTTCCTCAACTACTTCTGCAGGTGCAGGCTCTTCCTCAACTACTTCTGCAGGCTCTTCCTCAACTACTTCTGCAGGTGCAGGCTCTTCCTCAACTACTTCTGCAGGTGCAGGCTCTTCCTCAACTACTTCTGCAGGTGCAGGCTCTTCCTCAACTACTTCTGCTGGTGCAGGCTCTTCCTCAACTACTTCTGCTGGTGCAGACTCTTCCTCAACTACTTCTGCAGGCGCAGGCTCTTCCTCAACTACTTCAATTTTTTCTTCAGCTGCCTCCTCAATGGGTGCAGCTTCTTCAACCTCCTCTACAACTTCTGTTGGTGTATCATCTACCACAGGCTCTTCCACTTCCTCTGTGGGCACCTCTATCACCTCCTCAATAACTTCCACAACTTCAACAGGAACTTCTTCTATAATCTCTACAACCTCAATTTCCTCTGCTGGCACACTCTCTTGTGCTTCAAAAAAGCTGTCATCCTCCACAGCAGGTTCCTCTGGGACTACTTCTTCTACAGGAGCAGGTTCCACTGGCTCCTCCTCTGGGTGCTCGACAACCTCTTCTACAACTTTAATGTATTCCTCGAGAGGTGGTGTTGCTTCTATAGGCTCGTATTCTTCAGCTGGATCATCCTGAAGGACAGGTGGCACTTCAGGGGCGGGAACCTCATCTATCTGCCATACCCAAGCAATGAGAGTTATAACAATGAATATAATCAATAAAAAAACTAAAATTTCATCTCTAATTATATAATCAACAAGAGAATGTCCTCAATTCCTGGAAGATATTTTAGCAGTTATGGTTAGCATTTTTTTTCACATTACAAAAAATGAGCAAAAACATACAACTTTAATGAGTACTGTCTACCTGTAATCAGTACTACGACTCATTCTCTTTTCCTTTTTCCAGGGAATGGATAGCATAACTGATACTTTCATGACTGCTTTAGCTATATCTAATAATATATTATGAATCACTTCACTTTCATTCTTGTTTTTGTGTCCTTTGACTCTTACCCACAATAAGTTCAAAACAACTGAGCACTATTATAAGAATCTTTTCAGAAAGCTAGAGATATTTACTACTTTTACATGAACATTATTTTCACAAAAACATGTCAATCTAGACACGTACTTTAGTAAAAACTACAGAGGTCATTCCTGTTTTTAGGAATTACACCCAAGATAAATATAAGACAAAGATAAAAAACACAGACAAACAGGAATGTTCGTCAAGCCACACCTACATACAATCACCCCCACCCCCCCATATCCACACACTTAAGACATTCCAGTCACCCAAAATTTTCCCTTACCGAGGCACTTTCTTCAGGCATCAAAGATTCATCTTCCTTTATAAACTCAGCCGCTTCAGGCACTGCGGATGGCACTTCCTTGATGGCAGCTGTGGGATGGACGGCTTTGGTTAGTGTCCCTAAACTGCATGGATGTAAGAATAGTCAGAATTCCTTTCTTATGCATGTGTCTGGAAATACTGATTAGTAAACTACAAAGATGATAACAATAATGTTTGAAAATGATAATAATCATACTAACACATACTGAAAATTTTGGTATAATTTTTTTCTCTTTTCTATTGAAAATGGTTAATCAATTTCTGAGTATAGTTAGTCACATCATATCATAACAGCAACTGCTTTGGAAAACTATTAAAATCTCACCATCAATCTCTGTTATTTTCATGTGCACTAAGCAAATAGTTAAAATCACTGTTAGTCCAAACTTCACATCCAAATTCTAACCATAATGTAAAACTAAGTGAAAGAGCACAAATATGAGAGGAATAAGTAGATGGGGAGTAAATTAAGGCAGAGGTAAGAAGTGACTTTAGGATAAGTAAAATCTCTACAACTGCCATAAAAAGGGGTTTGCTCGTCTATACATCACAAACAGAAAATCATTTGTAAAGATCAGAGGAAACCTGGAACACTCACAACTCATGTGGCTGACTGACCTGTTCCTCCACATTTAACAAACCACAGGCTGCTGTTCCTCCTTTGCCACCACCACCCTCCACCCTCCACCTCTTCCTCTTCTCTCTCCTCCTCCTCTTTCTAATCCTCTTCCTCTCCTCCACCACATTATTTTCCCTTTCTTTCTACCTCCCCCCCTTTCCTCCTCCTCCACCTACACCTCTTATTCTTTCTCTCTTCATATTCTTCTTCCTCCTTCACAATTTCCTCCTCCTCCTCCTCCCATTCTTCCTTCTCCTCCTATCACAAGCAAAACACAGCATGCCCTACCCTGCTTGCCTCGCAGCTCAACCAAAATGAGGCCCACCACCAGCGACAGGGACACCAGTAGGATCAGGAAGAAGATCTTCGCCACGATGCCACTGCCTTCCCCATCGCCATTGCTGCTCCCGCTGCTGCTTGACGACTTGCTGTTTAAAGTGATCTTGCCCTTTGAGTCTGCTACATAATCGTCTGATTCATCTGAAAAGAAAAGGTACAACATGTGAATTCTAGTCCCTGAGAAAACTGAAATGATCTGTTAACCATGATAATAATTAGGGTCCTTTGTGGCCTTAGACATAATAGCAGAAAAAGCAACAGGAAGCATTCAGAAGTAATGTCTAAGACTCTCTTCATCTTTACTCTGACCAATAAAAGTGACTAAGGTTTCAAGAAAACTATTTGCTTTCTCTTGTCAGTTTTGAATAAATATGTCAATCTATCTAAGGGGGTAGGGGGAGGGGGAGGGAGAGGTGGGTCAGATCTAGATATTTCTGAAAGGGAGGGCATGGGGGTGTGGAAGCCACCACCATGCAGGAACACACATTGATATATTCCTCATCCAAGCTTCTGTCGGGTGTTCAGGTATTCATAGACCTATTCCTAGTGTGGATACAAAGTAAAATAGGCAAGAACAAAAATAGAACTCTGCAAAATAACAACAATATATAGAGGGGACATATACCCCACCTGGATCCAACCCAGAGAGGGAGGGAGGGAGGGGGAAGGGGAGGGAGGGAGGGGGGAAGGGGAGGGAGGGAGGGGGGAAGGGGAGGGAGGGAGGGGGGAGAGGGAGGGAGGAGGGAGGGAGGGAGGGGAGGGAGAGAGGGAGGGAGGGAAGGGGAGGGAGAGAGGGAGGGAGAGAGGGAGGGAGGGAAGGGAGGGAGAGAGGGAGGGAGGGAGGGGAGAGAGGGAGGGAGGGAGGGGGAGGAGGAAGGGAGGGAGGGGAGAGAGGGAGGGAGGGAGGGGAGAGAGAGAGAGAGGAGGAGGGGAGAGAGGAGAGGAGAGAGGAGAGGAGAGAGAGAGAGAGAGAGAGAGAGAGAGAGAGAGAGAGAGAGAGAGAGAGAGAGAGAGAGAGAGAGAGAGAGAGGAGAGAGAGAGAGAGAGAGAGAGAAGAGAGGAGAAGAGAGAGAGAGAGAGAAAGAGAAAAGAGAGAGAGAGAGAAGAGAGAGAGAGAGAGAGAGAGAGAGAGAGAGAGAGAGAGAGAGAGAGAGAGAGTGAGAGGAGTGAGAGAGAGTGAGTGAAGAGAGAGAGAGGAGAGAGAAGAGAGAGAGAGAGAGAGAGAGAGAAGAGAGAGAGGAGAAGTGAGAGAG